GCCTAAATCATTTTCCCGGTTCACACACACACACACACATATATATATATATATATATGCATACGACTGCATTAAAAGTTTTAAACAGTCACTTTAAGTCCTTCATTTCCACAATCTTGTGGACTGAGCACACGTTTGATAAAACGGAGTTAAATCTCTTGGCATCCATTTTCAAGCTCTCTGTGTGTTTGTTTCCTTGCGGACGAGAAAAGGGGGAGCGCACATTTCCGAGAAGGCGTGTACTTTTCAAAAATGCAAGAGACATTGCTTTGTTGCCGGCCGTTTTCTCCGGTGTGTTAAACACACTTTAGAAAGGAGTGTCCCCAGACTATCAGAAGGCAGAGATCTCTGATTGTCTGGTGGCGAGACTAGGCACAACTAAGCTATCATTGGTTTCCACGGTTCACCAGTTTAGTGGGCTACATTTCAAAGTAAAGTTAGCTGTAACTTTATAATTTACGCTGTGCTAATATCATGTTCACACAGCTTGGAACTCATACAGACATTTACACACCTTGTTTTCCTGGCTCAGCATGGGAGAATGTTTGTGCATCTGCTTCCCTTCTTTACTGGTAAAAACTCTTCATATATCCATGACTGACTGTGTGATCTCAACTCATCTAGCTAGCGTTTGGCACGGAAACCTGCTACAGCCCCAAATGCCCAGGCCAGGCCAGGCCAGGCCTATGAATAATAAGATATTTTTTATGGGTTTGCATGAATCACATGGGTCACGTTTTTAGGTTGGAAAATACAGAATTCCAGTTAAATCTGGAAAAACTACATCATTGTTATACATGGAAAATTAAAAATATGTGTTTAAAGAAAAACAGGATTACATGTTAACATGTTTTATAATTTATGATCCAGTTTCAAATACCTTCGAATGACACTGGACAATAGATACAGTTTTAACCAGCACACTGATGAACCAGAGCATTATTCAGCCTATACTACTGTACTGTTCAACCTGCATTTTTAACATGTTATCAGTTAAAAATGGGCCAAACTCACACGCATCAACAACAATGCTGCCAGGATAACTGCACCCCCACCCAACCTAACAGAGTTAAACCATTGCTACTTCAACAGAACAGGACATCACACACCCACTCAATCATCACCTCACCTCACCTCACCTCACCGCCCTCTGGGTGCAGGTACAGAGCATTGAGGTGCAGGGGGGCTCGCTTTCAGAGGAGCCTGATCCCTGCAGCCACAGTGGCCTTAAATAATAGGCCTCACTGAACAGGTCTGAGTGTGCACTCCTGTCTGTGTCAATATGGTGATGTTGTCCACGTTGTTACCGTGTGCTGTTCTACAGTTTGTATGATGTCGTCCATATTGTTACTGTGTTTTTGCTGAATCTCCCTTCTGGGACAATAAAGTCTAGGTCTATGAGTCTAGGATTTCCAGCGTAACCTGATTTGTCTTTGGATGAAAACATAATGACTCACCATCTGACCAGGCAGTGGGCTCGAGGAGGGAAGTCATTGTTCATACACAGAAGGTCCTGCATTGCCAAGGGGAAGGTATCTGGACACAAGAAGAAGAGTTATGTAACTGTATTGTGTGCATTCATGTCTTACCTGTTGACAAGACAAGACAAGACAAACTTTATTGTCCAAAACAGGAAATCTGTTTTGGGCACATAGTGCCACATAGCTGCATGGCGGATACAACCATCATATATAAACAAGACACACAGTAGACAGCCATGCGGTACAGCAAGACAAAGATTTGGCATAACCAAAAGAACATTAACTTTCGCCTACTTTTATTATTAACAATATTGATAAGGCAACATTCACTATAGGCATAAGGGAGATAAGAGATGTGTGGAGGATAATGGGGAATGTTGTGTGGGAATAAGGAATATATAAATAATGAATTGTGTTTGGACCAAAAATATAGTTGCTTTTTTGTTTTTTGTTTTTTTAAATGAGCTAGTAAAAGGAAAGGAATAAACTGTAAAAGCTTTTGATTTCTCATTACACTCCATTATAACTATCTAATAAGCGGTAGTATTTTAGAATCAGAATGAGAAATATGTTATTAATCTCAGAGAGGGAACTGTGATTCGTTGCAGTTGCACCAATGTTAAGAGAAGAGAATTGTAACAAGTAAGAATAAGAGTATGAAACAGAACTATATAAATATAAGTAATAAAAGTAATAAAATTAATTAGTAATAATTAAGTAATAGAAAGTAATAAAATAAAGAATATACAATTAAACATGCACATTATGCCACAACGTTTAACACTAGTGCTTGTACAAATGTAACAAAAGCACACAAGAATGGAAAACTGTGAACATTAAAGGGGAACTAATGTTTTTTTCAACCTGGGCCCTATTTTCCGATCTACTTTTGTCTAAATGAGTGATAGGATGTTCAATATTTGACATTTCTCCAGTATGAAGCTAGGGCTGACCTGCCAGCTGCCCGTGAGCGCACGCTATATTAAATAATAGGGCACTCAGACAGCGTCAAACAACGTCAAAATACGTCCACTAAAAGTGCATTTTTTTCCACACAGATGGGCTCGGATTGTTAGTATAATTATCCAACAACATAACGGAAGGAATGAACGTCTTTACGTGTTTACCTTTAGCTGGATTCGGACATGTTCCTCTGCCTGTTGCTGCTCCCTCTCTCTCCTCGTCCGCTCTGTTTTCAATGAGCTCTGCGTCCGTGTACGTCCGTGTACGTCCGTGTACTCCGTGTTCAAATAAATACAGGCAGTCATCAAATTCAAATGGCTCATCCCGATCCAGTTGGTCAAAATCGGGTAAAAATTCAGACATGTTTGTTGTGGCAAGTCAAAACACTCACTCAGAGTGAAAGTCTGGCTCTGAAACCTCACGTCTCACGAGATTTGAGTTGTTGCAGGAAGTTACCGCTGGAGTGACCTTACAAACGCGAGGAGTTACTCTGTTTGGAGTAGTCATGGCTGAATTTTTACCCCGTTCATTTCTCCTTTCCGTTATGTTGGATAATTATACTAACAATCCAAGCCTATCTGTGTGAAAAAAATGCACTGTCTGAGTGCCCTATCATTTAATATAGCGCGCACTCACGAGCTGCAGGCAAGTCAGCCCTAGCTTCGTACTGGAGAAATGTCAAATACTGAACATCCTATCACTCATTTAGACAAAAGTAGATCGGAAAATAGGGCCCAGGTTGAAAAAAACATTAGTTCCCCTTTAAGTTTAAGTGTGGCTGCTTAAACATTGCTATAAACTCTTCACATTAGACAGAAGCGTACCTTCCTCAGGCTTGTCCTTCCCATTGTCCTTCTCACATTCTTGTTTCAGGAAGTAATGAGTTACATAGAACTTAAAGTCCGCAAAATGAATCTCCATAGACTTCTCCCGCCAGGTGCCAGTGGTGTATTCACCCTGTGTTTAAATAATGAAGCGTCAGACCAGGGTGAAGGTAGCATACTGCTCACTGTTGTTATTCAGCTGAATATCTAAGGCTTCAGGAGAGTAGAATACCTTCTCTGGAGTTGAACTTCCTGCAGAGTTTCCAATCAGCTTCCAGTCATTAAGTAATTCCTCAACCCTAGACACAAACCTTCAAGAAGGTGAAAGTTAAGATGTCATCAACAGAGACTGACTGGATATACACAGTACCTGATAATGGCATGCACTGATAAGTGACTTCTTAGAAAAATAACATTGGACATGGGCCAACGTAGCACTGAAACAATTTGTCGTCAGAAAATTAATCCGCAGTTTTAACAGGTAATCATTTAAGTCACTTCATCAGTTTAGTAAATTTTAGAAGATGGCACACATGGCTCAAAAAATCTGTACACAAACCAAAATTGAACTGTCCTAGATATTTTTCATTTCTTTAATTGAAGATATGAGACCATATAAGACATGAGGCCTCATTTATAAAACTGTACACAGGAAAGCTGACTAAAGGTGACGTACGAACAAAGCACAGAAAGTGCTTATGCACAAAAATATCCAGATTTATAAGACAGTGCGCACTTTATAAATCACAATCAACTCGAAATGTGATGCAGATGAGCACGCGTCTTGCCCCACCCGTCGATGCCTTCAAATGGGCAGTGAAACGCCCTGAATTAATATTCATTAACAAGAAACAGCACGAAGGAGAGCACGGCAAATGCAGCATATTGCCAGGGGCGATTCTAGGATCAGAGGTTTAGGGGTGCTGACCACCCAGAGAGCTGCCCGGCCAGATAAATTTCACTGTTTTGTACATTTTAACTCAATTTCATTCCCACATTTGTGAAAGAAAAGCACAACACTTTTTGGGAAAGTCTGTGACTAAACCATCAAATCTTCTCCACTACAAGGACTGCATCTCACAGGCTAAATCCACCCATTACTCTGGTTTAATCAATTCAAACGATGGCAACTCAAGGACCCTGTTTTCACTCCTCAGTAACATTACTCAACCCCCAGACTCACTTCCACCACAGATGTACTCTACTGCCTTTTGTAATACCCTTCTATCCTTTTTTACTGCTAAAATTAATAACATCCATCAGCAACTTGCTCCCAGCTCCTCTCACAATTCATCTTCCCTATTTCCCCCTGTGTCCCCTTCCCAGTCACTCTCAGTATTTGCTCTACCTTCCGTTTTCGAAACCACTGGTCTGATCAAAAAATCCAAATCATCAACCTGCCAATTAGACCCCCTTCCAACTGCTCTTGTTAAAGCCACCATTCCCTCTTTGGCCCCTCTCATCACGCACATAATCCATTCTTCCCTCACCACTGGAATTGTTCCCTCACCCCTCAAAACAGCTGCTGTCACCCCAATACTCAAGAAACCTGGTGCAGATCCCAGTAACCACAATAACCTCAGTCCCATCTCCAATCTTCCATTTCTCGCAAAGATACTAGAAAAAACTGTTGCCTCTCAGCTCCACTCCCACCTTTCCTGCAATAATCTTTTTGATCAATTCCAGTCCAGTTTCCGCCCTCTCCACAGCACTGAAACGGCACTACTCAAAATCACCAACGATCTCCTCCTGGCAGCTGATTCCAGTCTCCTATCCATCCTCATCCTGCTTGACCTGAGTGCAGCCTTCAACACCATCTCACACACCACCCTCCTGGACAGACTCCTCTCTATTGGCATCACACACACCCCCCTCAACTGGTTCAAATCCTACCTCTCTGGCCGCACTCAGTTCATCCAACTCAAATCATTCACATCACATCCACTCCCAGTCACCACAGGCATGCCCCAGGGCTCTGTCCTGGGGCCCCTCCAATTCATCATTTACTTACTCCCCCATGGCTACATCTTCCGGAAACATCACATCCACTTCCACTGCTACGCGGATGACACCCAGCTCCATATTTCCACCCTCCCACCTTCCTCCTGGTTTTCATCCAACTTCCTCAAATTAAACAGCGACAAAACAGAAATTCTACTCATTGGCACTAAAACCACCCTATCCAAATCCCCCAGTTTCACATTATCTATTGACATCTCTAACATTTCTCCTTCCCCACAGGTCAAGAGTCTGGGTGTCATCCTCGACAGCACACTTTCTTACACTTCTCATATCAACCACATAACCCGGTCAGCTTACTTCCATCTCCGCAATATCAACCGCCTCCGCCCCTCTCTCACACCTCACACAGCTGCCATTCTGGTCCACAGTCTCGTCACCTACCGGCTTGACTGCAACTCCCTCCTGTTCGGCCTTCCACAAAAAACTCTCCATAAACTACAACTGGTACAGAATTCACCAGCTCGCATTATCACAAGGACCCCATCCACTCACCACATCACACTGGTCCTCCAGCAGCTCCACTGGCTCCCTATCACACACCGTATCCAATACAAGATTTTACTGCTCACCTTCAAGGCCATTCACAACCTAGCCCCTCCATACCTGTCTGATCTCCTCCACGTTGCCACACCCGTTCGCACACTCTGATCCTCTTCCTCCACCCACCTCTCCGTTCCCCCCCCCCC